GCCTACCCTGTGGTACCACAGTTTAGGTGTACTTCCCATATATGAGCTGATATATGATAAAGAAATCTAAACCTTTGGAATTAGTCTATCAGCCATCCGCCACATGAGGGGTTCACTAAACCCACTCGCCGCCACATATTAGAATGATATGTTTAAATGACTGTCAGGCTAACCTAAACAACTTGGAAAATTAACCTGTGCACACATTATAATGTTCAAAACAAAATTATGGGCTAAGGGAGAGAACTCCTACCGATTGAATTGAACAATGAGCCCTAGGTCACACTGAATGCCGAGAGGAAGAGGCATCAGTGGGTTGGGAAATGTGCTGACCCGATGAATGGAAATATTTAAAAAAAAACTGTAAATTATTGAGGTATATCTGGTTGCCAAGTCCAGACAGATGAACTCCATCTTTCCGATAAAGATGAAGTTCCTAACTGTAATACAAGTGTGTCAGATAGCGAACCCCCCTCCCGAACCACAAAATTTCTTACATCTGTATTAACTCTACGCCTAACCTTTTCCAAGGCACCAGGACTGCCAATACCGTCTAGGCAGGAGGTCGCTCCATACAACATTGACACCTGGTACCATGGCCAAAAGGCGAAGGAGGTCACACTTAATCTGTTCAATAAGTTCCATGCTCTTGATGACCCCAAGGTCATTGGAACCCAATTGAATCAAAACCCAGGATGGAGGGAGATTCTTTTAAGTAGTCCTCCAATGTTGTGCTGAACTGATCATGCCCCTTTCCCCCGCCAATCAAACTCGTGTCCCACCAGCCCCAGGTTAGGACCTCTTAATGTGCCCAAAATATAATGGACGAGCCCATGCACAAAATCTTGCCTCCTGAAACATATAATGCAATATTTAAAATTCATCATTAACCGAGCATAAACAGTAACAATATAAACTTTATGAAAGCTCAAAATTTGAATCTGATATAACCATTGTAAGCTCTCGAACTCCAGCGCCCCCACCTTTTAATGACATCGTCCGCGACCCCCCGAGTGGCTAATTCTGTAGCCCCACCTATACGAAATGGTGCTCGACTTCTGATTCGCAAGAATGCTTGCATGAACATAAGGGGACAAATCTGAGGAGTAGACTGATGGGACAAAAATAAAGTTGTCGAATTTCCCAAATTGATCAATTTTTGAAGAAGCCAGGCGAACATGTAATTCCAAATCTCTACCAAGTAATTGTATTGAAACATCTTGAAAACAAATGGCATGGCGACCTCGTTCATGCTTGCTATCAGCTGTCATTTCAGCAACAGCAAAAAATTCCAAACTAAATGCCGGCGCAAATAAAGTAGCTTCGTAACTTGACTAGCAAATGCTACTCAGGGATATTACCGATTTCCATAGCAGAATGGAAGTGATGGGTGTTCGAAGATCAGACCTCCGATTTTTTTTACGCATTCCTTCAATCATCTTGCTTACCAAAAATTATTTGTGTGGTCAGGCAAAGTTTCAATTTGTGTGCATAGCTCAAGCCTGATATGCATGTTGCTACTGTGGATGCCGACCTGCCAGTATATTACAAGTAAGCTATAACTTGTTGTAATTGGTCTATAGGAGCTGGCCAAATATCGCTCAAGCTATACTATGACCGAAATTTACGAAAAGGCTCTACTGCTGTTTTGTATGTTGCCCTAGATTTGGGAGCTAGAGAAAACTGGACGAGCAAACGTGCTTCACTCTCTAGATCGCCCATATATGGTCTGGTATTGGAGTTGGGTGCTGGTCCGCTGTGGGAGCCACTCTCCTGAAGCGCTGCAAATCACAACGGGAAAGAGAGTGAGCGATTACATTATCTCTACCAGGAATTTGCTCAGCTCTCATTAAAATATTGAGTTTTAGGGACATCAAGACCAATTTCCTTACTAGAACCATAACACGAGGAGACTTTGACGATTTATTGTTTATAATAACGACAACAGCCTGATTGTCTACATGAAATAAAATGTTCTTATTTCTCAGAAAATGACCCCATAAAGTGAGTGCAACAACAATTGGGAATAATTCCAGGAATGTAATATCAGTTAAAATATCCTGATGAATACCCTGCGCCCAGTGACTTTGGAAATATGCGCCGAAACCCCCGTGTAGACCCCCAGCGCTATCGGTATACATCTGTAATGTCGTGTTCGATGTCCAGAAACGATCAAGCATCACGGTAATCCATTATAATCTGACAGGAATACATACCACAACCTGAGATCATCGCGCATCTCTTGGGTAACCCTAATCTTGTGATGAGTTTTTTTAACTGAAATTGTTGCATCAATTAGTCTGCGGGAAAAAGGCCTGCCAGGGGCCACCACTTGGAAAGCAAAATTCAAGGATCCGATTAAAGACTGCAAGTCCCTTAAGGTAACTTTCACCTTACCCATAACTTTGACCAAAAATCAGCCCTTAATTGATTTAGTGTATCAGCAGGGAGCCGCATTTGCAATAGAATAGTATCAAACTCAATACCCAAAAATGTGAGTACCTGTGAAGGGCCCACAGTTTTCTCCTGTGCCAAGGGAACACCCCATGACGCACAAGAGTCTTGAAATGTTTTCAAAGAATGAGCACACTGTTCTGAATTGTTTTCCCCACCCATTAAGAAGTCATCTAACTAATGCAAAAGATTTCAATCAAGTAAAGCACAACTAATTGAGGCTCGCATGGGGAGGCATTTGTCAAAGAAGAAATTATCCTCAAAACAAAAACCTAACTGGTCAAAATCCGCCGGCAAAATCGGTAGTAGCCTAAAGGCAGACTTAATATCTGATATGGCCAATAAAGCACCCCGCCCTAGTCTCTGTATCATGCCAACCGCAACATCTATCGTTCTGTAATGCACGGAACAAAGTCCACTATCAATAAAGGCGTCCACCGACCTTCCAGCAGGTTGAGACAGGTGATGAAAGACCCTAAAATTATTATCCTTTTTTAGGAACCAGACCCAAGGGAGAAATACGGGATGTTGGAAATGGGGGGGGGGGGGGTTGCCATTTTGTTTGAAAACGGTTAAACAACCATCTTTTACCACCAAATCGCCATCAAAATCAGACGCGTGCTTTCCCAATTCATCCCCGGTTTTTACTAGCAGCCAAAAATCGATGTATTTACTGTTCCATTTTTTTTCCTTAACTTTGTGTGGCACGTGACCACCGACTGGGTTTAAAACACTTACCACTTCAACCGGATATGGCTGTATTTGAATGACCCCACCACTCACTCCGACACTTGAGCCAGAGTTCAATTCCCCCGACTTACCACCAGTAGACAGAGCTGATTCTCTGGGTTGTTCCAGCCCAGTCCGGACAGACACTGTTGAACTTTTCGGGAATATTGTTGGGTCTCCCCTGTCATCCACGAGGTTCGCCGCATGGTTGTCTGCGCCGGCATAATCAGATAGGCCCAACTCGGCATGATTCGGAACAGACGGCTGTCGATGCTGCTTTTTCCCCCATCAGCCTCCGGTGCCTTCCTTGAGGGTTTCCTTTTTCTCTTGGGTGGATGATTGTAGATTTTAAATGCTACCAAATTGTTCAACCATAAATTGTTCAACAAGCTTCGAGCAGCCACATCCGGGACAGAGATATTCAGGGGCATGCATATGGCTACGCTTAAAACTCATAAGCGCAAAATTGGTAAATAAAGCGTCTAAATGATGTTGTCCGAAGAGGAAAGACTTGCACAAGACCAAAATGGCAAATTACCTTAACTCATTAAATATTTTCACTTTAACTAAACTGGTGTTATCATACAATTGATAAACCTTATTATATATATAAATCAAGCACATTTTTGCGGTGGTTAGTTAAAAGATACATGCACATGAGAATAGAGTCAACGCAAAATAGGTTATAAACAGTTTGTACCTTCAATCTTTTATCTTGTATGTTTAGCACATTCCAAGTATTTTTAAATGGATTTCTGCATATTAGCGTTACCAAACAGTACTGCTTATGGGTTGCTGCGGCAGATACCAGCGGACGTATTCAATGAGAATAACAATAGTTATCTTGGCTTTCGTAACATTACAATCGATGTATGTTTTCTCTTAGTGAATCATTTCATCCAATGTAAAAATAGACAATAATAATGTATTGAACATAGAGGGGAAAACCGCAAACAATAACGGTGATAAAAAATACTGAAATAAGAAAAAAAGTAGAAGAAATACTGCTTTTCTCATGCAACTATTGTGTTGACTTTATCGATCTTTTAAAAGCAAATCGTATAACGTATTCAGATTCACGGCTTTTGTTGTGGGAAGCGTCGTAAATGTACAAAGAATGTTTATTTATAAACGCAACATCAACAGTGCGTAGGTAGGAGATATTTAAACCAGATCTCTAAATCCTATGGATAGGCGTGTACAGGTACGTTAGCATTAGGTTATGTAAGCCACCGATGGTATTGTTACATTATACGCTACAGCTACATCCGGGAGTCGTCTATAGCGAGGCAGTGGTAATTCTTTTACATACAGGTTTCTTGCCTCGTAGACGGTAAGAAACCAATTGTGGTATATTTATTGTAGGTGATCCATTATAGTCAGAAATACCCTTTGATATTATCATAAATATATCTGTATATTTACACTAACTAAGTACATCATGTACGTTATCTTACTTTTATTTGATATAGCTGTGTTTCTTTTGATTATCTGTACTTTAATTACAAGACTTCAAAGAATAATTGATTAGCGAGTCTTGGTTTCATACCTATGCACATTACTCATTTGACAAAGTAATCAAATTCTCGTGCATCAGGATACGACGAAGTCGCATTCCAGCTTAAGGTCAATACGTTGCTATAGTTGCCTAGCCCGAATAGAAAGTATTCTCACCGCCGCTGTCTTCGATGGTCTAACACATGTTGAACGACATGTTTCGTCTTATCAACACGACCAATACATCGTGTCTAGATTATCGTCACACAATCTACGAATCACTTTGACAAGTCCATTACCCCATGTTTTACAGACGGGCCTACTGGTATCGTTTCGTAAGATTACGTGACATTTGAATGGTGTAGTGTAAGGTTGTATTTTTGTTGAGGAGACGCCTGATACGTGTATAACATTTCCGCTGTGTACTTCTGTGTGGTGTCGGGGTTTGATTCAACCTTCCTGAAACAAATAATGGAGGTACATGTAATGTGTTCGTTATATGCAAACAATATTTAATCAGATAAATAATTACAAATAAGTAACATATTGGATATTGATAGTATGTACACTATTTTGTTTTATTTCATTTCAGAGATCACAAGAATGCGACGACTTCCTGAACCTGGGTACGTCTTTTTCTATGTGATCTTATTCAATAAAATAACATTAAATTGATATGGTAGGGGAAAACAATTAACACCACTCCAGTCAGTGCTTGACGAATCAAGTACCGCATTCCACTAGACAGGTAAGTCTTACTACGAGTGTCTGACAATTGTATCTGATCTGATCCTAATATTTTAATGATTCGATAGAAAAATAGCACTAGTGTAGCAAAATGAATGAGAAAACAGGATTAAAACAAAAACGCTATTTTCAAATATTTAAAAAATGTTTTCGGCATTATTATAGTGACAGGTAGATAATCTATAAATACGATAGATAAAAAGAAAATGGTTTACCACATACTCATTAATGTTGTGTTATCACAAAATGATAAATAGAAATTGTCATTTTTTATTCTTCTTACCGTATTTGTAGATAACGAGGCGAAGGTGTCCTCATTGATCCTGTTGGTACTTATCACAATCCACTTAGGTCTGTCAGAGCACGCGATCATACCACGTAAGTTAGTAAGGCCGCCCATTCATGCTACACTGTATTATGGTTTGGAGGATTTTATTCACCAACTAAACATAATTGATATTCAAAAGTAAAAACTAATAAACTTTATTTTCAAGTCCATAAAAAACACCGATCGCGGCAAGCAGATAAACAACTACAAGCTTTGGGGTGGATCGATAAATAGTGGTAAGGACATGTATTTGACCATAACAAATAACGATTTCCCGACATAACAGGCATGTTTGAAATGGTCGATGTCTGATTAAGCTCCTATTAATGCTTGGGTTCGGTATAAATCTGCTACGAACGAAGGTTTCCTTTGTTCTCTTCTTCATCTTTCCTTATTGACTTTTTTCCAGTATTTTGTGCGTCTATACAGTCGTCTAGTCAAATAAATGTAACTTTGACATTTCACCATAAATAATCATCTCATAACTAATCGCTTGACATATTAATATAACACTCAGCAGACAATATGTGAACTAAAAGACACGGTGACGCAATATCTGTATTTCGTTCGGAGCGGTTTTGACCTGTTTAGTTGATGAAATCAAAAGGAAAAGGGAAAGTTATCAAACGGATGACCGGGAATCTTTCCAGGGAGGCTTAGAAATTATCACATTTACAATAATACTGGTTATGTGAATAGGTATAGTATGAACTGTTAGTCAGCCCCAATATCTTTTACAGTATGAGAGCACAGCATTTCCGACATAGATTGCTTTTACAGTTTTGTGAGAACCAAAATAAAATAAAAAATATACATTACAAAGAAAATAAAACCAGGAGATTGCTATAATCAAAGACAAAAGAGCGATTTTCTTCGAAAAGAAATCCTTTCACTTACAGTAATGTAGTTAGATTCGAGTGAAGAGCCTATATGGTTGTAATTTATTTTTTGAGTATATTTAATAGTGTATTAATAACTGATATATACCGATGTAAACTCGTGATAATTATTGAGTGCCTGGTCTATATCATTGTTCAGTTAGGTGGCAATATGTGTCAACAGACTGTTGGCATTCCCACGACAGAAATCTGTAACCTCCCCCTGTCGGACGTGTTCATATGAGGCTGAACTTATTTTAGAGCTTATCAGGACGGGTAACAAAAGCCTTACCAAATCCTATTATTTTCACTTTCACTTACATCGACAATGTGCTAACTTTGAATAACATAAAATTAATTTGACAATGTCACATGTATATCTCCTGAATTTGAAATAAAGTCATTACATATTCTTCTACATCAGGCCCTTATCGCCATCTATACTTACAGCTTGACCGACAGTAATGGTTCACCACTCAGCTGAACGATAATCGTGCTGAGTTCAATTTTCCTATGATAAACTTGTCCTTTCTTGATATTAACATCCCTGCCTCCTCAACCTGCTAACGTCACCTGTCGTAGTTGATTCGATATTCAAAAGCGTGTTCCAGATATCCTGATTTTGGTGACAGACGTCGACTTATGACGGACAAACATACAAGATAAGTTTTCGGAGAGAGGAAAGTTAATAAAGACTAAGGGAAAGTCTCATGTTGACCATGTCACACACGGATTTTTTTTGATTTTTTTTTCAATGGTCTTCATTTCAATAAATCCTTTGTTCATATTTTACCAATGTTTTATCGGCTCTGTTTTCAAATTATGATTTTGTTGACATTTCAGAGTTTTCTTAGGGTTTTTTTCCTGATTAAAAATATACATGTTTCCTACATTTCGATGTTTTTTTTCTGATTAAAAATATACATGTTTCCTACATTTCGATGTTACGGTGGATTAAAGCTTATATCAAATTCAAATTAAACGGTGAGAAATCTTGTTATCAACAAACAGACCACTCTCCGCCATATGCGAGACTTTTCACTGTATTTCAAAACACTCAGGAATTGCATCAAGCCGTGTTCAAAATCGTGAAGTTGAAGTCATTTTATAGAGAATAACCTATACACGATTAGTTATATGACTTACATGTTTAGGTCATTTTTAAGCGTAATTTGATATTTACTTTAAGGAACTTTACTTTTTCGCCATAACCTTGAAATACAAACTGTATCGTCATACCGTTGGGTGTAAGTTCACGCTGTCAAAAAGATCTGGTTAAAAGCAGTGAAGCTTATGGGGGAACTTGTCATAAACATTATACTTTAAACGGTATGTATTTTTCATATCATGACACATGTATGTAAGTGGATTTTCAATTTGCTAACGGCACGTTTATTTCTATAAATGACGTCTTGTGATGATAACAGAGTCCTACAAAAAAATACATTTTTAGTTGGTAAGTTTGAAAATATCTCCTCTTAACCAAAGGCTGATCCTTATTATAAAACTGTATTCGTATGATATACCAATATAAGTGTGATACAGGACACAGAGAACGATTGATTGCTTAGTATTAAAGAAGTCATTGATTGATTGAGTGAATAATTATATTCTTATCACTTTGCCAGATCACCCCTCCACACCCACCTGTTCGATGAGCTCCCATATGACCTGCGACTACGATTTCCAAGCTGAGTATTTCTACACCCTAACCAAAGCCTGTCAAAACTGTACTAACAACGTCACAGACTGCTACAGACCGGGTTATATTTCAGCTGGCGGCAATATGTACCCCAAAAGGTTCTGTGGGTGAACATGAGCTCCCTGGATCATATGTACACGTAAGTCGGGGCACAGTTATGACTGTAAGGCACCATCCGACAATAGATATCAGAACGCTGTTTATCGCAAAATCCCGTAGAGTATCTTGAAAGGAAACCCACTCGATTTCATAGGTCACAATTCATGTCATTACATTGAGAAAATGCAAAATAAAGACTGGCATATTCACTGATTGACGCGGTAGTCATGCAATATGTATATCTTATTAATGTGAAATCGAAACAATAACAATTAGAAATGATATCAAACGTAACATTTTAAAAATCCTAATGATACGGGCCCGCTTGTTATAAAATTTAATTAAAAATTAATTTAATTTAATATTGCAGTTTCAAATTACACCATGTAATGAAATTGAAGATTCCCGTCTCTACAACTTTGATCAATGGTTCATACATAATACAAATGTATGTATTGGTGTTATTATGCATTTTAGGTACAGAAGCCCATTGTATTGTCTGCGACAATGAATTATATGTGAACGCTACATGATATAAGGAGTTCAATGTTGATCGGAGACGACGTTGCAGATACCTTACTCTTCAATTCAGTTCAGGTCTTCAACAGCGACGGAAATCCTTTCCATCCATCAGTATATAGCTACATAGAAACTGTGGTAGGAAAAACACTGACCATCTCTGCCGTGAAAGAACTCTCAGCAAACAAGGCCTGTGGGTGTACATTGTATGTTCTATGCATTTCCATGCGTTTCGTTGTGTGTTTGGTATTTCGTTCCCATGATGTGACAGTATCGGAGCATATGTTAAGCGTTTATTCTGATGGAACACTAATATGCTAGCATACCGTCTAATATCCATAACACATTCTACAACCAACCAAATGAGTGTCTGGCTAGAGGACAGTAAACATTCGCAACATATATAAAAACTCATATCTGAGAGCTGAAGCCTTGGATTTCAAAGATGTTTCGGTGGTCGAAAATATTTCCCGTTGGATATGTGGAATGCGCTCTATTGGCTGTGTGATCATAAATTATCCTTCCGTGAAATTATTATACACAGTTGAAACCAATATCCCTATGGGTGTAGACTTACTGTCGACTTGTGTTGGCGTCGACACAGTTGTTGGTTTGGGCACCTTCTTCTTTTATCAGTACTTACTTACAATACTAGCATATACCTGCACTTGGCTAGGGATGGCTCACACACCTTGCATCTTTTCTGTGAATACACGTATCCCGTTCCAAGTTGACATACTTAAACTTCTGACGCATTCTAGGCCTAAATGAATATTTATGAAAATGTTGAAATGTCAAAAAGAGAAAACACAGTTGTACCGTATTACTCAGTAACGGGAAATTACTTCTGAGGTTTGATGAAAGTAGAGCAGATAGTCAGTTTTAAGATACAGATGAAGCAACGGTAAGATACATGGTTGTTTTAGTACACTTTGCTATACACACGAAGGTATTCGCGTAACTAGACAATTCATATCATTGTTGTAAGGAAATCTTACAAGAGAATAGCAACAAATGTTAGAATGGCGCTACCCATTGAAAGTGGCGTTCGGCTTTGTTGTCAAACGTGTTGGCATTAGAACCTGCGTCATATATTAAGCTACGAATTCCTGCACTTTTATCACATCTATTAATATTTTCGCTTTTCTATTTTGCTTGAACAATAAACATGTGATTCAAAATGTAATGTGTTCCCGTTTAACATAATGTATTTTTCCTTCGTAGGACACAATATGCACAACTCGTGAAAATATCTGTTCTCTGCCACGCTCCTGAAGTAAATGTGGTATCCAACGGAAAACTATTTAACCCTTTCACCCCTATAAAGGGTTAAATGTCATCATTATGTCTTGTTTCCCGATACCGTAAAAATGAATTACATAGGAATTGCTCCCCTTCACCCATATTTCCACCCATTGAAAGCCCTTCCTTTAACCACCACAAATTCGTTTTAAACTAATCATACATATTGTCAGTGCTTCTTTATTACTTGCCGAGTTTGTACAAATTTATTGCTAGCCGAGTTTGTACAAATTTATTACTTGCCGAGTTTGTACAAATTTATTACTTGCCGAGTTTGTACAAATTTATTGCTCGCCGAGTTTGTACAAATTTATTACTTGCCGAGTTTGTACAAATTTATTACTTGACGAGTTTGTACAAATTTATTACTTGCTGAGTTTGTACACATTTATTACTTGCCCAGTTTGTACAAATTTATTACTTGCCGAGTTTGTACAAATTTATTACTTGCCGAGTTTGTACAAATGTAATACTTGCCGAGTGTGTACACATTTATTACTCGCAGAGTTTGTACAAATTTATTACTTGCTGATTTTGTACAAATGAATTTGACCTTTGCTTTTGTACTATGTAAATATTAGCCAACTTTTCGCGCAGAAACTTCTGACCAGTCAGAGTGCAGTGTGCTTATAAGTTACGAGCGAATTTTGCTCAACATCATACTTAGCCTTTCTCTTTGTAGCATATAAATGTTGACCAAGTTTCACAGGAAACCGGTCATACAGTTGCGTTTTTCATTAAGTTATTGTGCATAAATAATTGACTTATAAGAGCATACTATGACACACAAGGTTTGCTCAATTTTGAACTCTGCCTTTATTGTATTTGATTTCAGAATTGGTCGATGTCATCAAAATCTTGTCATATTTGATAAATGTATTGTTTGGAAACAATTGACCAAATCAGAGACCAGTATGTCCAGATTTAAGCTCGATTTTGAGCTTAGCATTTGTCTTTGAATATTATTCATGCTTACCATGTTTCATCAAAATAAACTGATGTTTAAGCATTTTCTTCAGTTTTCTTGAGTGGTTCTGCCCTAGGTACTAATGAGTGTCTGGATTCGCCATCTAAGTGGGCTTTTTTGCAAACTCGACAACCCAAGATGTTTGTCGAAAATGTGTTTAAAATGAATGTTACAACGAAAAGCTTCATTTTCATTTCCAGAGCACTTTTATTTAGGTCAACTGACAAATATACATACATTCACATCCAATTATCCTATCTGAATCGGCTACTTGGCATTCATGCTCACAGACAAAATCTATTTACATGATGTGTATCATATATATACACACTCTCTCACACCACAGCACACAGCAAGGTTCCGTGTCTTCTAAATCTAACATCCCCAAGTAGAGTCAAAGTTTCAATGTCATTTAATCATTTGTTACAATGTACCTTAACTTATACACAACAGTCTCGAAATTCAAGTATTTTTATAATACACACTTTCTGTCGACTGAACTTGTTTGGTTGTGTCGGCCTCTCAGTCTGGTCGTGTCTGTCACTTAATTCTGTTCTCCTCCTTCTCCTCAATCATGTCTTGCCGCTCCCTTTACATTAAGTACATGTAGGTATATATTTATACGCCTACAACTGTTCTTCTACTCCTTCCATCATCGTATCCTCCTCTTACTCCTTCTCGCTTTTTGATTTCATGGGGTTAGTCCACACTCTCATTTCTATAATGGAATAAGTTATTCATGGCATTAAATATCCTAAAATGTACACAGAGAAAATGGCATGCAAAACCCCGAAAGGTTATTTATCCAGTTCAATTTTAGACAAATATATATCAAATAATGCTTTTCTGTATTAAATCATAACTGTAATTTGTACATATAATTGCTTTGGATATTATGGAAACAATTAGCATATGCATTTTACTTTATTTAATTAATTGAAAGAACAGGAACTGATGACGCATCTATTAACTGAACTAGAAAAAAGTTGAACAAGTTTCCATCACATACCTAGAAACATTACTTAAACACTTGTATAGGCAAGGATAGGAACATCTGGACCATAATTTTGAAAAATGATCTCACAAAACTTCAAAAACATTGACAGTGTGTCAGTTTATCATGGATCCCAGGGGTCAATCCAAACATTAACTCGCCCTTAAGACCACCAGAAAACATTCTGAACCAGAAAACTATGTATGCCAAGTTTTATTAGAAAGGACTGACGGAACTACAGGAGATGATGCAAACATCTCAAAAAATCAGTGGCCAAGGCAGTCATCTTAGATCCTTGGGAAAGTAGCAAATTACTAATCCTTTCCCCTCTACAATGTATTAAGATTGGTCACTAATGGATCCGGGCCCTCCACCAACATCAGCACTATAAAGCTTTCAATATTGACTTCAATACCATATTTACATTGTATGTGTATTACACAAAACTTACCTCCCGCTTTATATCATCCTACTTAACTAACCTTCAAACTATATATCATCATAATAAACTAACCTCCAGACTATATATCATCATTCTTAACTAACCTCTAGACTATTTATCATCATACTTAACTAACCTCCAGACTATATATCATCATATTCAATACTAACCTCCAGACTATAAATCATCAGACTTAACTAACATCCAGACTATATACCATCATACTATACTAACCTCCAGACTAAATATCATCATATTCAATACTAACCTCCAGACTAAATATCATCATACTTAACTAACCGCCAGACTATAAATCATCATACTTAACTAACCTCCAGACTATATATCACCATTCTAAACTAACCTCCAGACTATATATCATCAAATTAAACTATCCTCCAGACTATATATCACCATTCTAAACTAACCTCCAGACTATATATCATCATACTAAATTATTATACCTCTACTTTATTTACTCTATATAAAAGTAATTGGTTAAATCGAATATATCCCCACTTTTGCCTGACTGTGTTTTAGTCCTGTGTGTTAGTCTGGGAACTAAAACACACCTACACTCGGGTGTTTCCGCCGAGCCAATCAGGCGAGAGGTGGGCGGAGCTTGTTACCGAACTCGGAACCGACGCGCGAGGTTGGCGGAGTTTGCTACCGAACTCGGAAGCATTTTTGGCTCTATTGTGATCTACAGCTTATGGTTTACAAATAATTTCTAGTTAAAACTATCTCTCCAGTGTGTATATATCGGTATAATAAAACGGTTAAA